AGATAACTCCTGAAGTCAGTCTCTGCCAGCTACTCTTTCATATCATCTCCCTCTATATCTTCAACTTTGGTATCTCCTTTATCATCATCTGTAATATTGAAGAAAAAAACATTTACTTGGTTATTTAGTCCAAGTATTTTTTCTGTTGGTAGGCTCCGTTCTTCTCGCTGCTCAAGGGATGTCTTAGATTTGTCTTGAAAAACTTCATGCTGCCCATGAAGTGATTGTGTTAAAAGGTAGTAGCTTATCAACCCATGCTGTAACATCTGTTCGTAAAACCCATGCAAGAACCGATGCAAAACTGCGAAGCTTTTCCAGTAGCACGGAGTCTTATAGGTTGAATTTCAGATGTCTTCTGAGTGGGGAAAGAATATTATGAGCATATAAAAAAAAATCAGCACCAGACATATGAGGTTCATACTCAAGTTACACACATACAGGAGTCTTTAAATTACAATAATACTCAGCCAAATAAATCCCTCCAGAAAATAAGTCCCCCAAAAGTCAGACCCAAAAAAATCAAATCCAATTAAATCAGCCTCTCTCCTCTCTCATAAAAAATATCAACCAAAGTTGTTTGGTCAAAATGTCTTTCTTGAGTTGCTATGAACATTGTTCTAATATTTCAACAGGGTCAATGTCAAAGAAAACTTTAAATGTTTATTATTATCATTTTTATTGTTAATCACAGTATACAATTGTGCACTTAAAGACTTCCATGCACAATGTTCATTTAACGTAATTATGTGGATTTTTTTTTTCTATATTCTTTACCTAGAAAGCCTTAACCACTGATAATATTATATGTTTTATTCATGTACACTCCAACCTACAATTTTTCAAGACAGTGCAAAATTCTTCCCATATACTGTATAAGTTTCACAATAATTAAATAAACAAAAATAGTCCTTCTGATAATAATCCCAACAAGACCCTTATTCTTGTCTACAACAATCAAACTTAGACAGTGAATTAAGAAACAGTCTGCGGATATTTTGAGGGAAAAATGCTCAAGGGAACAGAGCTTCAGCCTCTAACAACCTCAGAGACAGCTTTCCCAAGGGCATAGCTTAGTTATAATTTTTCATTTTTGTATACTTAACATATATATCTGACTTATAATTTGATATTGTTAACAATAATTAATATGATATATAGGTTAACTTAGTTATGAAAATGAAAAATTTATATTCTCACAAATATAAAGATATCCCCCAGGCAAACTATTTCTGAGGCTGAAGCTCTCTGGGAGTTGGCAAATTTGCACTGTGACGTAGACCTTTGAACTGAATTTTTTATATTTACTTTTCAAGACGGTTCCATAAACTATAAATGGCTCAGTAAAAAATGAAATGAAAACCTCTAGTGGAGTAATATTTTATTCAAACATGGGTTAAATAGTGTAGTAAGAAGCAAAAAAATCTCCACATCCAAGTGTGTTTTTAAAAGCTCGTTCATTGTTGTCCGGATAGTCTCTGATTGTTGTCCGTGCTTAACACAGTTCACTAAGAAAGATTAGAGAGGTTTTTTGTTTCATTTCCTCTAATCCTGAAAGCAATCCAAAACAGGAATAAAAACAAGTCTCCTGTTCAAGGAAAATACTTACAAGCAGAAATATTCTCACTTCAATGCTTAAACAGCTTAAGACAGCAAAAGCTTGCTGTTTGCTGTTGATCATTTTTTTGCTTCATTTCCATTGTTTCTTACCAAACACTTACCAGCAATGTCAGCAGTCCACAGCGTCAAATTGTCCCTCAAAAGCTGCATTATCAAAGTACTATCCTTGTAGGAGTCTTCACTCAACGTATCCAGGTCACCAATGGCATCATCAAAGGCTGTCTTTGCCACCTTACAGGCTTTGTCTGAATCTCTTAGGATCTCATAATGAAATACGGAGTAGTTTAAGGCCAAGCCCAGTCGGATAGGGCTTGTGCATGGAAGACCTTTGCCTTCCTCTTCGGCTTTCGCATAAGCTTCCCTGGCATCCTCTTTGCGGCCACTATCATCAGATATTTCAGCTTGATATCTGTAGTAATCGCCCTTCCTGTTTGAAAGCAAACTCATCAGCCACTTAGCTAAAAGCCATTTAATAAGCAGCTGCAGGTAAGCTATATATTTTCAAGAGCTATTTCCATGAAATATTTCCTTCACTCACAATTTTGGAAAACATTTGCAGGACAATATTAAATATTAATATTAAATATTAAATATTAAGTAATGATTTTAAAGTGACTGGCAACCCAGGTGTGGGGACTCCCATACAAAAATTACAGGGATGCTAAACATACCTTTTAGGGGTAAAAATTAAAGTGGTTTTGGTACCTCTCAGGGTGTTAAGCCTCAAAAGGTCCACAGCAGGAGCTTTAGTGGTACCTTTTAGGGTATTGAGCCGAGAAAATATAGCAGGAGGTAATGAGTTATTTAAGAATTGGTACCTTTAAGGGGAGAAAAAAATTTCGAGCCATGCCCACAAAACAGGATCTTCGTACCTCTTAGGGGTTCTTTTCAAAATTTCAAACAAGTACCCCTGTCCTTTTATATGGGAGTCCACCCCCCGGGGGCTGGCAACAGTTTCAAGCAGTTTCCAACAGTTTTACTTCTATTACAATTCAGTAGTAACAAACTTTACCAAGTGATGTTACTGAAGTCACACAAATCGTCTGTAGGATGAGTTCAGAGCCACCTTGAATTTTTCAAAAATTTAACAAAAACACAGACTTTTACCAAAATAGAAAAATGCTTAGTTACAAAAAAAGATAATTGACACAGAAAAATTATTAGGTAAATTCACCCAGAATAACTTGAAAGCTAATTGAGCTGGGAAAAGGTGGCTCTGAACCCATCCTATAGATATTTTTAAAAAAACTTGGGAACTGGTGCTTAAAAGGTTAACGGGGTGCCAAATGCCATATGCTGAAGGGGGGTATCCATGGCAACCCTGGAAGCTGGAACCATCCTTGGATGGAAACCTTTGTGCAGGTGCTTGGAGAATGGAAGGACCTGAGAACAGGGTGACTTGGTACCTCCGATCACCAAAATAACCCCAAGCACCAACAATCTGATAGCAAGGATGAATATGAACGGCACACACCAGATGAGGCCAATGACCAGATGTTGCTGCTAGTCCCATGAAACAACAGTTGGACCCTGTTATTTCGAACTCTCTGGGTTAACAAGAAAATTGTTCAAAGTAGAAACCGCTCTTAAGGTCATTCCACTGAAATAGAACCTGCACTGAGATTTTTGAGAAACTTTGCCTATCGATTGTTTATATCATAGGAACTTAAATTTTGAAATAAAAATGAAGGGTCCCCATGTTCGTTTAGGAGCAAAAGCACCTTGTTTATACCCATATAAATCCTTACAAAAGCACCATGATTGTAGTTATGATTGCTTGCTAAATTCACGTTTCRGACGATTGCTTTTTGCTCTACACTGAGAATTGGTCCACATTTATTTTACACAGAGAAATTTATTACTCAATTCAAAACAACAGAAAAAAATGATAGGTCACCATACTCATTTGCGAGAAAATGACGATTTACTGTTGTAAAGAAAAAGCCGCCATTTTTTAATGCGCACGCACTAATCATGCATGAAATTATGCACAGTAGGGATGTGCAATGCAATACTGGGGAATGACCTTAAGTGTGGTTACATAGTATTGATGTGTCGAATTATAACTACTGGAAATGTCTCAAAACTGCAAGCCAGCCACCTCAACCTTTAAGCACTTCAAACAAAGTGCAACAAATTGTATATTGACTTCTTCAGTTCCTCTATAAGTCCAGGTCTGTCCAGTACTTACATTTTAAGAAAGAAAACCTTGGATTCGGTGTCGTCAGCATCAGGAATAAGAGGATCCTCCAGGAGAGAAATAATTTGCTCACAGACCTCATTGAGCTCTTTCTCAATTTGAAGTCTAAATTTCTTGCTCAGTTCTTTGTTCTTCTCCTCCTTGCCCTCTGCCTTTGCCTCCAATGAAGAAACTATACGCCATGCAGCTCTTTTAGCTCCGATCACATTCTTGTAGGCAACAGATAGAAGATTTCGCTCTTCAGTTGACAGCTTCGGCCCTTCCTTTGCAACTTTCCACATGTATTCTGCCATTTCTGATACATGAAAAATTGGAGAATATGAGCACCTGTTCTCAAAACAGCCAAATATTATTCCACATTTTATTTAATAAATTTTTTTTTTTACGTAATGCATTAGTGGAATTGCAGTGAGAAATACTATTGTCTTTTGATGTGCACTCCTCAAAAATGCCAAACTTGGCAACATGTCACTTTTCACTTACTGTTAGAATACACGTAGTTACCACTAACCACTGTACACGTAAGACAAAAAGCTAACTGCCAACTACAGATGGCATAGCGCATGTGTGAAGAATTCGTCATTTGAGCAAGCAATTTTAACAAGTTTGGATAATGGCAAGATAACAATAGTGCATCGTTAAATGTGCGAATTCTGTCCTGCAATAACACAGCTCATACAACCTCGGACTGCTCACATGCGTTTTAGCTTTATGTAAAGCATTCCCTGCTAATGTAAAGGAAACTTGCTTCAAAGCACGTTCAAATTCATGACCAGACACACCTGCCATTTGGAAAATTAATTCATTTCNTCATTTATTATTTGACATTTTTTTCATATTACCTTGTCATGACATTACGTCTATTTTTGTAGTGTTGTTGCCCTTGGGAGAACGTTTACTTAAGTTCTTCCCAGACCCTTTTGATTTCGAAAAGATTGGGTCCGTAGCAGCAAATATCATTGCTGAAAGGACAAAAGCAAATGGTAGCAGCAAAGGAGATGTAAGTTATTATATATATATATATATCAATAAAGTAAATTAATTGGATTTATCCATTTATTGTCTTGAATCATTATGAACAGCACCAGATCATTTTAAGTAAACACAAACAGTCTTAATGATCAGTTTTTCATACCAAGGGTTTCTTTTTCCCTTTTTTTGCAGCGGAAGGACATGTTGCAATTGATGCTGGATGCAAAAAATGATACAGGAGGGGAAAAAATTGATAATGATGATATTCAGGCGCAAAGTCTTGTGTTCCTTCTCGCTGGATATGAAACGTCCAGTACCACCCTGGGGTTTGTTTGTTATCATTTGGTCACTGATACGCACGTGCAAGACAAACTGAGAGCCGAAATTGACCAGATGTGCCCTGGAGACGAGGTTGGTTAGCTGTTTAGTTTCTAATGCAGCCTTACCAAGTTTTTTTTTTTTAACGTTCAGTCAATTACAGGGTTAAACGTGAGTAATCTCTTCTTTTGAAAGTGTTACAAACAATTCTTATATTTTTAACCATCTCAAAACACCCACCAGGGTTTGGGTGAACGACACTGTTCCTTTGAACTTGTTAATTTTAACAATAACTGCATAGTAGACACTGTAGACAGGAGGAGGGGGAAGTCTTGTGCTAACCCAGTTAGGTGTTTTTTTTTTATCAGTTACAGTGTAACCGATAAAGAAAAAACCACCAAAGATTGTGGAGTTCCAGAAAATATCCATATCCACCCCACCGAACATGGTTAACGGAAATTCCAAGGGGAAGCTTATGGAGGGTTTCAAAAGTCAAAATTTTAAAAGGAAAGTATGAAGCTAACTGGAATTTCCAGAGGGGTGGGGACGGTAGCCTCCTAAGCAGAAGCTCTTTGAGATCGTCACGCAATCACTTCATCTTTTTCTCGGCAAAATACACTATAATTTCTAGAAGTTAATGTCGTTTGAAGTCTCTTGTAATTTTTTTCTGAGTCCAAAGTTTGCTGCCTATCGAGAAGTGCCCTGTGATTGGGCTAAATAAATTTCTCTGTTTCTGAGCAGACGTTCGTGGGGGATGAGGAGTGCGTGACGATCCCAAAGAGCGTCTGCGTAGAAGGCTATGGGGATTGGGGGCTCAAGGGACCGGCTTAAGCTAAAAAAAACCGTCCATATGAGGGGTATGGATATCTATAGTAATATGAGACACCGTTGTAGACATTATAAAAACTCCGTTGTGAATAACGTATGTGTGTTCAAGTGGCGGTGGATGCCCCTTTATGCCCGTGTGCGACATCTTGGAACTTTACTATCTTTTAGAATCTCCTTTGTTTGAATAACTATTTACATGTAACACCCCGCAGGTATCGCCGTCATATGATGTCCTTCACAAGATGGAATACCTTGATATGGTTATCAACGAAGCATTGCGAATGTATCCCCCAGCGTTTGTGTAAGTATGAAGGAGATATCACACTTGGTATATTTAGTGATGCTGTTGGATATTTGCTGACGCTTTGTCATCCAGGCCAACTTTCACAGCTATTCGCTATATAAACACCTAAAATACTGGTTTGTTGAGGGTTGTCCAATCTGTGTCCTACTTTAATAATAATTTTATTTTAAAAAGGCCTGTTTCTTTGACTCTGAATTTTACTTTTAGATTTCTACTGTCGTGAATTGCATGAAACACAATCAAATACATTTAATGCCTTTTTTCGTAACCGTCTGCACGCAGGGAGTTCAGCTGTAAGACAAGTGCGATAAAACAGTGTACTTAAGTCAACAAAACGGCAAATACAAAAAGGATCCACTGTCGCCTCGATTAGCAGGATCGAACGTTGCTTGAGAGAGCACCTCTCGACAAATTGGCTAGTCAAAATATCTCACAACACTCCTATTTTCAAGGAATTACTGTTCGCCGAAAAACCCATCATCGTTGTCAATAGGGACCGACTTAAAAAGTAACTGTCATTGTGTCCTGTCTGACTGTAATGTATTGCTTCCTTAGACTCCAGAGGGATTGTAACGAGACTTGCACTATCAAAGGAGTGACAATTCCAAGTGGAATGCCGGTCATGATTCCATGTTATGCAATTCATCATGACCCAGAGATTTGGCCAGAGCCTGAAAAGTTTGATCCAGAAAGGTGCGGAGACGATCCCTGATGCTTTATGTTTCATTGGTACTCCCAACTTCCTTTTCCCTAGCTTTTCCTCTTCTTCTTTTATCTCACGGCAATCATCTTCGATCTGTATACGAGTCACAGATGAATGCTCCGTATCCTTTATTCACTGATAAGAAAAGGGCATTTCCTCACACAGTGCAAATGAAGTGCTCGCATAAGCGTTTTAACCCTTTGAGCGCCAATTAAGCATATATGCGTAATGGTCATGCTCTTTGCACCACTTGTGATGTCATCGGATATTCTTGGTAAGCAGATAGTAGTTCTAGGCTAGGCCTTTCCGTACGATGGTCAGGTTTAGATATCGACGACATTCCGACGTCGAAAATCGAAAAACAACGTTATCAGTTTTGGTGCAAAAACGGTGGTAAAATGGTCCACTATGCCTATGATTGATCAAGGTCCATTTCTAGGCTTCGCCCGTAATTAACATCCAACTTTTCACGGCAGCCACAAAAAAAATGCAACGCAAAACGTAGCCAGAGTAAAAGGGCCGAGAAATAAAGAAAGGAAAGGGGCAACAAACAAAATTGAAAACGGTTAAAGGCAAAAATAATAATAATAATTGGCTTATGCGCGTGCCCGGAATTGAAATATTGCTCAATTTTGTACGTAATCCTCAAAAAATCTCTCCTTTTAGTAAAAAAAAGCTTTCTTAGCAAAACTTAGGCTTAGTTAGCGTCGTGGCAGCCATAAAACCTGACTAAACGGTTAAAAACGGTATTTTTTGGCGAAAATTTGATATTCAAAGGGTTAAAAACCGCTATGTGAAGTGGTTATGGCCGGGTCTAAACGACGTTTTCTTTCCAACTTTAATATAGTTGAAGTTGAAATGGTTGCTTTACAGATGATACCTTTTGTCTTTGACAGGTTCACCGAAGCAGAGAAAGCAAAGCGTCATCCTTACACATTCATGCCATTTGGATACGGCCCTCACAACTGTGTTGGCATGAGATTTGCTTTGCTGGAAATTAAACTGACCCTGGTGAGATTACTGAAGAAATACAAGCTAGAACGCACCGAGAAAACAGCACCGGTAAGTTAGACCTCATAGCATTTGCAAAACATTGTTCACTCATCGTGTGCATGGCTTGGTACTTGTAGCACGTTGCGCGTGGAGCGTTCCATTTGGAAAACTGGACGGCACTCGTCGCATCACCAAACCCCAAGCTTCCTGTCTTTTAATTGACGTATCTAACGTTAAGTCAAAGATCCCATTTCCATATATGAAAGGTTGTTCACCAAGACTCGTTTTAAAACAAAGGTAAAAGCAACTGGGAAATGGCCTACTGGACTTGCCATTTCCTTCCAACTGTTCTACGACGCCTGGTAATAACAGTACTGTAGTCCATCGACCATTGAAGGTCATTTTTGCTGTAGCCATGTATACATGTATTGATGCGTCCTCTATGACTTCCATGCCACACAAATCATCGAGTTTGTTTTCTTTCCTTGCAGCCTCCCCTGGGTTATGTTGTTGGAGCTGTTCTGACCTGCCCCAAAGGAAAAATTATGCTCAAAGTTTCACCAAGAGAATAAAACTAGCAAGCTCGTTCGCCCATAGATGCTAGAAAGAAGAGTATAACATGTTTCACTATTCATAGGTACAAATCAAGTGTTCATAAGCAATTTGTACCATTTAGGCAAACTAGTAGGTACAAGTGCTCATAAGTTATTATATAACAAGTCAAAATTACTCATTTTTTCTCGGTTTTTACTCTTGATCTACCGGAGGACAAACGTATAGACGACGTCATTCACGGTAGGTGCGCTAGTTTTTTGTTCTTAATTACCACATTTTGACAAGACATGTGGTGTTTTACTGAACAGATCTAGACACAGCCACCATGAATCTATTTACTAAATTTACAACCTTATATTACGTACAGTTCAAAAGTGCGGGATAAAGTTAACGGTGTAACTTAAGATACACTATCTCTCCATCAGAGAATTCAATCCAACTTTCACCGTTATCTGGTTCAATTTACCCTTCTGCACGCTCACTATGCTAGTTGTTTCGTTTTTATTTTATTCCCAGAAACGTCTTACACGTACAGTAGTTTTTTGAGTTAAATATTTGTGCAACAGCTCTTGTGACTTACCGATGTAAAGATGACTTAACATTTCTTGGAGTGATATAGCTGTGTCGTTTCGGTCTGCAGGTTTCTGTGCAAAGATCTCCCGAAATTTTAATATCTCGTTTTCATTTCCCACATTTGTTTAACCCGATTTTCAGGATTTCTTATTGATACACCATCTGCACTCATCTTTAAGGGAAAAAAGATTGGTACTGAATTTGTATGTTCAGGTTAGATAAGCTCAAAAATATATTACTTCATGTAGATTTAGCTTATTAAAGCTACTTTCAATATTTCGTTAATCACTCAAGATGCTTTAATAGAGTACAGTAAAATTCCACTTTAAAGCCCTGGGCTTATATAACTTCATAAGGGGTTTTGGATGGGCTTATATCCGGGGGGCTTACATGTATAAGTGGAGTAAAAAAAAATGTTTCGGAACGACGAGATAAAACGTATCTGAGAAACGAATTAAAGCTATTACACTATTTGCCTACAACTTTCAATTAAAAATTTTGATGTTTGTGAAGAAACGCAAAAGGAACGCATTTATACATTAGATGGGTTTATATCTGGGGGGGAGGGGGGCTTATATCCGATATTATGTCTTTGTTAGCAAATAGATAGGCGTATATCCGGGGGGTCTTACAACCGTGGGGGCTTTAAAGTGGGATTTTACGGTATTGTCAACATCCATCGGGACCATGTTGAGTAATGTACAAATTAATATAGGCTGACCTTGGACTATATTATACACAAAAGAAAGCTGATCTTTTCATTAGTACTTTCATTCTTTCATAATGTATATGAATTATGACATCTTTTATGAATGAAGCACTGTATAGTACTTTAATAAAAAAAAATAGGTCCGCAATACGTATTTGTGGGCTTATGGCTAGTTTTATTCATTGGGTTGAAGTATTGTAGTCTTACGAGTAGCAATTACTAGCAAGATAAAAGTAAACGAGGTTCGATTTGTGCTAGGAACGTACATTACTTGAGCCTGCTGTTTTAACTACCCAGCACTTCCGTACAAACCGATTCATTCAATAATTTCTCTACAAATAGCATCGTTGTTAGTGTGGTGCAGTGGAGATTCAAGATATCTGCCTTGTGAGCAGGAGGCTATGAGTTCAACTCCTAGGGAGACCGGAACTCTTTCTTTTTGTTTTTACTTACATTTTTTTTTCTTTTTTACTTCTTTTTTTCTTTTCTTAAACATTTACCGCAAGGCAATGTTTGCCTTTCTCATGCACGCTTACGTTAAACCAAAAGGAAAAAGACTGCAAGAGAACGATTGAGAAATCGGAAATAACTTACCTTGAAAACTGCAACTAAACTTGCAACTGTAGCTGTACAGGAATTGCTCAAAACAAAGTAAGGGTGCAGACGACACGATATGAAACGATACGCCCCACAAACGATGTAGAACACTGGAAATGGTGGCCATCGAAGGACGTGGCCAAGGATCACTCGAAATTAGTAGTACCCGGTCTACCTATAGGGCAAAAGCAAAACAAGTCATTTGGTGAACATATTGAGTGACATGTGACACGTGACACATGACATCACGTCCTCAAACTGACTCACAAGATTTTGCTAGCTTATTTATTGGATTTATGCATGCATAATGCATAAGTCCACAAAAATGCACAGAATTTCTGAGACAGGAGAGATTGTTGATTTTCACATGTGCTAAATTATGTAGTATAAATATTGAAAGTTCATTTACTGAAGTAAATTTTCAAAATTATTAAATTATTAGCAACAAGTCACTCATGTTTACTTGCCTTGCATCAAAAAGTTTAGTTCATGGGAGGTAATTATCACATTCATCACTTCACACTTCCAATTGTATGGAAAATAATTATTGCTTCAGCGGCCAAGAATGCAAAACATTGCGTCATTCAGACGAACAAAATATTATCTACAAATATATGTAGACTAACATAGAGTACAAATCTTACAACCAATTTTCTTCACGTACATTGATTCATCTGTTTCATTGTTTTGGATAGTGTTGTACACTGCTGACCTTAATGTGTTATATCGCTGCTGGCCATGATGCATTGCAGCTATTAGCCTTGACCATATAATTGGCACTTGTGGTGCAAGATGACATAACATATTTTTGTTGCAATTCATAACTCCCCTATTCACTGGACAATTACCAAGAAAGTGACAGTTAAAAGTAATAAAGACACATATTTTGCTTTTGGTAGGCTTGGTTTGCTGGGCTCAATATATATTTTAAGAAATAATTTTCATCTCAAAAATGGGCGGGTTTATATATGGAAAGAACTTAATGTCTGACAACTTTAAAGTGCACATAAGAAGAGTGCATCATCATAAAACTCTCCGAACATAACTAAACAGTTGGTAAGTTGAAACTCAATAAAAGTTCTATTTTCATCACATAAACAACAAAAGCCCCGAAAATACTTCTGATATGAAGCCTATTCACTCCATTTTGGAACATTAGGCCACTGACAAATCGCTTCCAGTCCCCTCTGTGCCTTGCCAGGTGTTTCATCTCTCCCCCAAAATACTTAAATGGTATAAATTAACCAGTCTTAATAAAATGTTATTTTGCTGTATAAAGATTATGCAAGCCCCCTGGTTATATATAATTATTTTCAAGAGNTAGATGTAGTGAGTAGTGTAACAGTGTGCACTTGTCAACAAAATGACAGCTGCTTCTTGGCGTTTTCGAAGTGTCTGTGAAGAGGATATAGATAAAGTTTTGAAGGACTATTAGATTTATACTTAAACAATTAGATAATTCGCTCTCAATTTCTATGTGAGGGCTATGCCCTCGTCAACTATCACATGATAGAAATCCCAAGCTCATAATCTAATTGTTTAATAGAAACACAATTTTAAATTAATCAGCGTGAATATTTTCTTTGAGCTATTTTCTAAACCTATTTAGTAGTATTAAGCTTCATGTCTTATGAAAATGTGCATGGATTGAAGTGCCAATTGAAACTTTCAGCTGTATTCAGCCATCAGTTCAATGAACAATACAAAATGACTGAATGATTTCCTTCCTTTAGCCTTCTTGAGAACTGAATTACCCAGTGATGTTTTTAAATAAAGTTGTTTGAGTAAGGCAAAGCAAATGTTTAAATCCTTCAACTTGACTGAACTATAAAGGGAAAAACTATCCAATTATTATGTGCAGATGGTATAAACTTAGTTTGCCACTCTTCGCATAAGCTTATAAGAAAATTTAAATATTACATTGTTAGGGTACATCAACCAAAATGCTGGAAAATAAAATGCTCAACATATATATTACATGAAAAAGACAAAAAAGTCATTCATTATGTATGTTTCTCAACGTTTAACAGACCATACAAATTTCTCCTCATGCATAAGGTAACTTGGGAAAAACCCATGGACTAAATGAAGTTTTGTCCGCCTATTAAAAATGTAAGCTTATTTCACCCTTAAGCCAAAAATTAACATGTCACCGATTTACGGTGAACAGGAGGCAAGCTTCACAGATACACACCCGAGAGGCATCGCAGCAAACAGTTAAACAGAAACTACCCGATCAGACCAACCAAAATCGAACAGGTTTTTTTTAAAAAAAAAAAAAAAAAAGCAGGCATGATAACACATCTTTTCATCAACAAGCCGCCAGAAATATGGAATATAAACGTGCTTTTCTCACCACGTTAATTAAACAAACCGACCAGCTAGCACTCCTTTATACTGAATTGAATTGACACTACAATTAGAAAAGTCGCTTTCGACAATTCGTTTTAAGCGTCATTTTTGTCCCAGCGTAGATTATTTTAAACGATATGTCGGTGTACATTACTCAAAATGCCGCTCTGACAGCGCCGAATAACGAAGCGCCCACGCTGACAAGTGGCGAATCGATAAGCTTTTAGCAAAGGCAAAGCAAAGGTAAATCAAAGGCTTGTAGTGGAAATTAAGTCTTATTTTCAATACTGCGTAACGAACCTTGGTAGGAGGGTAAAAAGCTAGATTTAACGAGAAGCGTGAATTCCATTCAAAAGTACTACATCAGCGAATCTGAACTCAAGCAATCTTTGTTAAAAGAAGGGTGTTTTTTACAGTTTTTCTACCGTAACCGACGTGATGCGATCACAAACCGAGGATTCTAACAGTAACAACACAAAACGCCTACGATGGCGGCAAAAACGATCGGCTTACCTTCATACCGCTCAGCTTGTTCGGCTAGCTTGGCCAGGAACACATTCTTTTCCCTTTCTGACATTTTACTACGTATAAAAGAACGAAGATTTCCGCAACGCAGTGAAAATACCGGCTTTCTTGTTCAAACCAAGGCCAGGGCCATGTAAACTCCGAATAGCCTGGGGGCGAGTCAGCCTGGGCGGGAAACATTACTAACTCACGGGCGTGGAGTGGGGGATTTGCCTACTATCTCAGGGTTAGGCAGAGAATATGGTGCTTCCCAAGAAGGTATAATTTTTTTCAGATAGATCTAAAGACATTTCAAAGGTTTTTTAATGTAATCTGTTTTCCTTTGCTAAATGTTTGGTGGCTCCTGTCCAACTGCTGGAAATCGAGCCTACTGACCTTCATTAAGGTGGACAGAAGTCACTGAGAATGTTAGAACAGAAAAACAGATCAGATAACAAAACTAACGTATGGATGGCAAGTAGGTTAGGATTGCTTTTATGGACAAATTTCAGATTGCCTTGGAGGATATTGATGGACACAGGGCAGTTACAGTGAAGCACACGCAACCTGTCATGGGAGGTGCAGTGGCCTCATGGTTAGTGCGCTGGCCTCTGCAGGACAAAGCGTTCTGGGTTTGACCCCTAGCTGGGGACACAATTGTGTTGTGTCTGTTGTGTTCTTAGGCAAGGCACTTTACTCTCACAGTGCCTCTCTCCACCCAGGTGTATAAATGGGTACTGGCGGATTTAATGTTGGGGGTAACGCTGCAATGGACTAGCATCCCATCCAAGGGGAGTAGAAATACCCCTAGTTGCTTCATGCTACAGAAACCGGAAATAAGTGCCAGCCTGAAGGGCCACTTGGCTCGTATGCAGACTTTACCTTTGCCTTTTTACATGCAACCTGTCTTGTGACATGGTGTTTAGGTAGTCAGTCAAAAAATAGAGTTTCTTAAATGAATTTTACTAAATGAAAACAAGAAATGCAGTTACACATTATAAATACATCATTTATTATTCAACTACCCATGCCAATAATACTAATTATTGTGTAATAGCCCTTTTCACGGTTACCTTTGCTCATTTGTATCACAATAAAATCTAGCATGTAGGTGAGGCAATTTTGGGCTATTTTGTAGTTTTAGCCCGAAATTGCCTCGCATCCACATGGATTAAATTGTAATGCAAATGAGAAAAATTAACCGTGAAAAGGGCTATTGAATAACAAATTCATGGAACTTATTTTGCAAAAATGTTCAACTGCCAAGTTCTGACTACTCATTTAAAACTGTATAAGTCAATAACTAATAAAAGTACCGTATAACCCCAAACTGAGCAACCTCAAGCATACTTTTTAGTAAAATAAAAAGAAGACAAAAAATGGAAAAATAACAAATAGAAGACGTCATTATACACAGTGCATACCAGGATATGAATGATGTTTCTTTCTGATGTTTCTTTCTGATCCTCATTTGCCTCATGTGAAGGACTTCCGAATTACCTTAAGCCTCTTTCTCAAAGCAAGTTTTGGTGCCCATCCTTTCATATGAAGAGATTTCATTCACATGCAAATTAAACTCATATTCAAACGAATGGTTGTGCACCAGGGCCTTGCTTTGATAGAGAGGCTTAGGCCAACTCAGAAATGGGTTATTCTGTGCTGATGTAATTAGTGTTTTCAAAATTGTATTCTCTATTTTGAAAGTTGTATTCTATGTGTTTTAACACTTCTCATGATTTTCTTCAGTTGCATAAGCACAAATAAAAACTCCCCGAACATAGCAACCCTCTATATTAGTACAGTTGCGGATCCAGGGGAGGGGCCTGGCTTCCCCCTTATTTTGGGTAAAAAAAAAAAAAATCACAGAAGGAAGAAAAGCCNCCCCCCCCCCCAGCTCAAGATCTGGATCTGCCACCGTAGTGGGCATGCTCACTACTTTTGGCAACGTATGGCACTTGTCTAACCTTCCTAATCAAATATGTAAAATCCCATGTTAAGCCCTGGGCTTATATAACTTCATAAGGGGTTTTGGGTGGGCTTATAAACAGGAGGGAGTTATATCAGGGGGGGGGGGGAGGCATATAAGTGGAATAAAAAAATGTTTCGGAACAATGAGATAAAACTTATCTGAGAAATGAAATAAAGCTGACATAACATGACATTTAGAACTATTAAATTTATAATACAATTATCATGCATCACAATAAACAGGGAGTTTATTTCCAAAACATCTAGAAAACACTAATGTGACTGGAACAACTAGAACAGAACAGAACAAAAGTAAAAGAACTACAAGCCTTCACATTATCAGTTTACACATTAGATGGGCTCTATCTGGGGAGCTTACATCCGGAATAATTTCTTTGTTAGCAAATAGAATGGCTTATATCTGGAGGGGGGNGGGGGCTTTAACATGGGATTTTACGGTGTAAGGTGTTCCTAGTTTCAGGTCAAGATTGATTTGTTTGAAATTTCTTCGATACAGCTGCCAGGATTCTTTGAGTCCAGCCATTCATTTTCCAAGACCATGGCCACACAAAAAAAAAAATTTTATTTTTTTAAAATAATGGAAATCTCTCTTCCTCCGCTCAGTTCTTCTGCACTTGTGTTTGAGACACCTCTGTGTCAATTCTGAGCTCTACTGAGATCAGTCTACCATTTCTAACAAGCTGCTGCCAGGCTTTCAATTTTTGTGAGCCAGTAATGCAAGTAGTTTAGGGGTAGTTCCAGATCCTGACCCCATGGAAGGTCATAGAAATATTTCTAAGAGGGGGTGAGGTGGGGGGGTTTAAACCAAAATGCCTTCTGTGTGGGGAGGGTGAGGATATTTTCTTGCTCAACACAATCTGAGAGAAACTGTATGGATTTCTGTAGAGATACACAACTGAAACAGCATAGACTTTCACTAGGGGCTGGGCAGCAGGCAAATTAATCGGCTGTGAGGATGATTTTGCTGGCCTGGTTTGACCATGTAGAGGAATGTTTTTCTTCTCAAGAATTCAGTTCAAAAAGTTTTGCCTGCCAGTGAAAACCAGTTGCCCTTCTGCTGAAAAAATTAATGAAACTTTGGGGCTCAACTCTTTGATGTCTGTTACAAGCAGGGGAACATTTGAGTGTGTAAAGAGAGATCTCTATTTTACCAAGTGTTTCCTGGCTGAGTGGACCACAAAGGAGGCAAACAAAACCAATAATTCAATTTGCATGAGAAGTAAAAATTACACAAAACATGCTCGAACCATCAAAGGAGGACCAAAAGGTAAAAAAAGAAAACTTTAGAAAGATTTCCAACAATACACATGTGGTTCAATGTTGCTACTATCCAGAGCTACTACTGTATACATGTTTTCTATAAAAACAAAAAAAACCAGAACACCATAATAGTTACCAGAAATGATTTGAGAACAAAGCCTATGAGCATTAATTAAAATAAAATGGAGAAGCTTGCTGTACACACTTGTCACCATATGATATAAAAACAGTTATGCAGCTAAGCATACAAGTCATTGATTAATGGTCTGTGACAAATGCAGAGTGTAGATAGACCTGTAGACTGTTTTTTTTTCCTAAGTACAAGTACAAGGGCTAACTGAAAATAAGCTAACCCATTCAGGTTAACTAGAACACTGTTTAGGTTAAGTTGAGTGCACTTCTACAGTCTGCATTTGTCCCACACCCTTTGATCACTCTTAAGCTTGGACTGCATCAACTACTCTTTGGCATCATCAGCTTCCATATCTTCAACTTTGGTGTCATCACCTTGAGCTGCAATGAAAAAACAAATGATTACCTGTTAATTTTTAAGGTGGCTAGCAGCAGTTTCCGGGGTTCAGAGCTGCCTTTCTCTGAACTTCATCCACAGAATTTTTTTTTCAAAATTTGCAAAAAGTTGCATCATAACATGCTATGTACAAGTTTAGTGACCAGGCCTATGTGGCCTAGAAGCATGTGTGGTGAAAAGGATACCATGTTTTCGGAGTGACCTTTTTAGTATGTGATGTTTTGCTTTAGCATGTTTCCAGTTTCAGAAGTTCAAGCATGTTCCATAAGTACTGATCAAGCTCGTCAGTGACCAGTGTTTTAGGCATCATAGTACAGCTTATATCCTCCCTTTGCATTTACTTTAGAGACTTTGCTTGCTTTAGAGACTTTGCTTTAGAGACTTTGCTCAACATGCCTAACGTGTCACGTGAACAATGAGTGCAGGGCTCAAAAACAAGTGCTGTCCGGTCATCCGGGACAAGTGGATTCTCCTTCTGGGCAAGTAACTTTTCATTCTCAATTGCTTGATGGGCAAGGGCTCACACAAGTCATCTACCAACTAAATCATTTAAGTCCTGTGGGTGACAAGGATAGTTTGGTGGCAAGTGGACAGTGCGTGGAGCCTTGAATTCTTACGTTTTTCATCTTGTGGTTGGCAAGAGTGGTGCGAAGAACTTTGGTGGCTAGGATTATAATTTTTGTCCACAGACTATAGCTTTGAAACAAGTAAAGATACCCCTGGGTCTCCTTAAATCTCGGGGAGAACACTGAAGTCATGTGACATTATATATCATTACTAAATTTGTATAGATCTCACTACCATGTGTAAACTGATGGAAAATTAATCCACAATGATACTGACACGTACAAAAGTACTAAATCTGCTATGAAAACTAAAAAAAGTGCTCTGAGGGAGGAAAGAATCTAGCTACAATGTACTGACACATCAAAGAGCAAATCCTGTTTTCAAAATTGCAAAAAACCTTTCAGGGGATGATTTCCACCCCCTTGTATGACTGAGGGTTAAGACAATTTCAATTTCTCTTATGGGGAGCAGGGAGGGTGCAGTGGTGAGTGCACCTGGGATTGATTCCGGCCCAGTGCCATATATACGTGGATTGAGTTTGTTGATGGTTCTCGCACAGCTCCAAGGGTTTTTCTCTGGATTCTCCAGTTTTCCTCCCTCCACAGAAACCAACACTCCAAATTCCAATTCAACCGGGATAGAGAACCCACATGAAAATCAGCCAAGGCTGATGTGGCTTCCTCTCTAAATATAGTTAATTATTTATTGAAAGAGATACCTTCAAGGTCAGCAGTCCACAGAGTCAAGTTGTCCCTCAAAAGCTGCATTATCAAGGTGCTGTCCTTGTATGACTCTTCACTCGTTGTATCCAGGTCCCCAATGGCCATATCAAAGGCTTTCTTTGCTAGGGCACAGGCCTTGCCCTGCTCATTGCAGATCTCATAATAAAATACGGAGAAGTTTAAGGCCAAGCCCAAGCGGATTGGGTGAGTGGATGGAAGACTCTCATTAGCTGTTTCCTCTGCCTTTTTGTAAGCCTCCAATGCCTTGTCTTGAATTTCTTTTACCCCAGCAATTTCAGCTTGATACCTGTAGTAATCACCCTTCCTGTTTAAAAGAAAACAGTTAGCTCATCTTATAGAATAAAGGATTTCATTTAACATGGTGGATCCAGGAAATTCAGAAAGAGGAAGTCATGGCAGTTGGCTCAATAAATTAGGGGAGCACAAATTAATTTCATTTGCTCCTCCTAGAAAATTTAAAATCTTTGTCCTCGGAGATCTGTTACCTGTATTCTGGGGCAGCTGTAACAAAAGAGCTGTGGCTTTGATTAATTCTTGGGTTGCACTGTGTGTCACACAATTAAAAAAATAACTCGAAAGCCATTCAGTGTATAAAGTCAAGAAATTATGATGTTATAGGGGATAAATAAAGAAGACATTTCTCCAAGTTTTAGGTCTACGAGTATGTTTTCCCAAACTTCAAATATTCATCAAAATATTTTGCACAAATTTACAGAACCCAGTATGGATCTGCCATGTTGGTGTACCTCCACAGTATACCAACATGGTGGCTGGAAAGTAATGTAAACATCTGGAACTTACTTTGGCTATCTAGGCCACTGATTATCTGAACTGATCATGAAAGCAAACATTTAAATAAGCACTTGTCCTAATAATTCAACTTTTAAAAAGGCGAAAAATCCCAAGATAAGTATATATTTTTCGACAAACGCGTCCATAGCTTTATGTCACGCAGTGCCATAACTCTGAAATTCGAAATGTGCCTGTTTTCAGACAAAGTAAGCTACTGAGCTGAAAAGAAAATTTGTTAACTTTACTGCCTCTTAAGTCTGATGACGATAACAACTTTGGTGGCTCTTTAGTATTGGATTTTAGAAACTGATGACATCATGTGCAAACCAAGAATAGATCAGAGATCATTATAGTGAATTCCTTAGGTAAAGGGGAGAGGGTAAGGGAGGGGGGTTAGCAGCAGCCCCCATTTGCTGTGTAACTCTCCCCTCAAACCCACCCATGAGCTACAGTGTATGTCAGAATGTCCAGGTCAAGGCCCATAAACACGCAAAAAATTGATCAGGGACAATAATTATTTATTTTACTTATGTTTAAAACTGGATCAATGGATAACGAAATTCAAGATTTTCATTCAATTAACCATCACGGAATATGAAACATCATACCATGCTCTACAAATATGGTGTGGAGGCACGGTGGCCTCATGGTTGGTGTGCTTCTCTCCAGATCAAGCGGTCAGGGTTCGAGCCCTGGCCGAGGACATTGCTTTTTGTTCCTGGGCAAGGCATTTTCACTTTCACAGTGCCTCTTTCTCTCTCTCCACCCAGGTGTATAAATGGGTACCGGTGAACTTAATGTTGGGAGTAACTCTGCGGTTGACTAGCATTCCATCCAGGAAGGGGGGTGGAGGGAATAGAAATACTCGTAGTTGCTTCATGCTACAGAAACCAGGATAAGCTCCAACCTGAAGGGCCACTTGGCTCGTATGCAGACTACAAATATGGTAAGCATACATATAATTTTTGGGGTATTTTTTCTATATTTTGCAGGCATTTTTTATAAACCATTATTATTCCACTCGTGCTTGTTGGATACAAGATGACATGTACATAAAGACTTTTTCTTAAATATCAGTCTATTCTGGTACTTACATTTTATTAAGGAAAACCTTGGATTCACCACTTTCAGCATTAGGAATAAGGCATTCATCAAGCAGCTTGATAATTTCATCACAAATTTCATCAAGCTCCTTCTCTATTTGCTGCTTGAAGTTCTTGGTAATTTTTCTGGACTTCTCATCTTTGCCTTCCTTTTCTGCCTTTCCCTCTATTGAAGATATCATGCGCCATGCGGCTCTTTTAGCCCCAATCACATTCTTATAGGCAACAGACAGAAGATTCCGCTCCTCAACTGTCAGTTCGGTCTTGGCCGCATTCCTTTCTTCCACAACCTTCTTCATATACTCCGCCATTTCTGAAGTGACAAAAAAGAGGGGGATATGAGGTCTAGCAGTGTATCAGAGCTTACTAGTAACTGATTATGTGTACAGTATGTACTGCAAGAAATTTGGATTATTTAAAATTAATTAACTGTTATATGAATCACATGGTCTTAAGGAAAACTTGGTAATGATACATGTGGTAATATCATTTTGCTGAGCAAGCTTACAATCGATGCCTCTTTTTGGCGGCACAGATGACAATTTTTAAAAAAAAATTAAAATTTGAGAGATCGCCAATTTGATATGAGGGTACTTTTTGTCAGCTCTAAAACAGGGTTAAAAATAAGTTTCGGCTGGCTTTAATAGAGGATAGACATAATGATATATAGATGGCATCATCAAAATTTGTTTTATTTCATTTTATAAAAAAGATAGATTCCATGTTGCATGCATCTGTTCAGTAAAAAATCATAAAAGACATCAAACTGTCGAAAGAACATCAATTATACACTCGGCTATTGCCTCACCTGCCACTTTTTTGTTCTTACCACATTTTGGTGTCATCTGTGATGTATTACTGAATAGATGGACAGCAGTAACATGGAATCTATTCATTGAGTTGATATTTAATATATATAAGCTTGGGTGTCTCAAAAACTATGACCTAAGATCAAAGACCTTAGTTTTTGAGATCCTGAGGGAGACTTAGGTCTTAGTTTTTGAGATTCAGAGGGGCTCTTAGGACTTAGTTTTTGAGATTTGGAGGGGGTCTTTCTGAGGGAGTCTTATGTCTTAGATTTTGAGATTTGCAGGGGGTAAGCCTTCGTTTTTGAGATTCTGAGGGAGTCTTAGGTCTTAGTTTTTGAGATTCAGAGGGGGTCTTAGGTCTTAGTTTTCGAGATTCTGAGGGGGTCTTTTGAGATTCGGGGGGGGGGGGTGGGTTAGATCTTAGGTCTTAGTTTTTGAGACACCCATATAAGCTTATATTTGCAGGGTGTGGAAAACATAAATTTATACTTCACTACTCAAAATGTGAAAAGATTTATGAAACCCAACTCCTTAGGAAGGGAAATCAACTGGATAATTTGCTTCTTTAGTGGCCAGTCAGGATGACAAACCTGACTCGGTCATAGTCGTGCCTTGTTTATGACAAGCGTCACTTTCGAGCCACAGTCGGCACAATGTGAAAACGCGTTCGTACAAATACCTAGTAGAAGCTAAGGTTCGCAGCAAAGTACAAACTTTTTGGCATCCAAGTTCTGATTTTCCCAGGGTTTCACAGTTCACTTTGAGTCCGGAAAAAAAAAATGCCTAAAATAACGAAGGATGTCCTTAAGCTTAAGCTCATATTTTGCGGGCGAAATTGACGAATCCACGACGGCTTACTTTACCTAAATAGCAGGACAGATTAACAGAAGTCTACCTGGGAAGTGTAAACATCATTCAAAACTACAGTTTCAGGAAATCTGAATCCGTGAAAGGTTTATGGTAAAATTGAAAAGAAGCATTTAATTAAGCTTATTTGTTGTTTGCCAACGTACCGATAAAATTATTTTAGCGCCATGCATAATTAGCTAACTACGATCAGAGGATTCTAACATAACAAAATGGCTACTGACGGTATAAAAACCATCCCTTTACCTTCATATCGCTCAGCTTGCTCGGCTATCTTGGCCACAAAAACGTTATCTCCTCCGCCTGACATTTTACCGCCGGAAAATGCAGTGTAAGATTCTCGGCAAGAGTGAGGCAATAGTGGAGAAGTGTGAAGTTCAAAGTTGCGCGAGCCTGCAGTACATTCCACAGAAAGAGGTAAAAAACATGCGCCAAAATTTCAAAATGGCGGCCGCGTGGAGCGAAATAAAACCAAGTTTGTCCCACTCAATTTTAAATGTCATGGAAAAGCTTGGCTTCCAAACGATGACACCAGTACAGGTAGGCAAAGAAATAATCTAGTTGTTATCGTGTTAAGTGCTTTTTTAATTTGACTTTTCTCGTTACATTCAGACAGCCGCCATTCCCTTGTTTATGTCAAACAAAGATGTCGCTGTTGAAGCGGTAAGCTCATCAATCTCTCCCTACCAGTTGATTGTTATACATTGCCTTTGCTTTCCATGATAGTTCTGATTGATCCCCTGATTGATTTATAACGTTTTGAAAGCATAAAACCTCTCAATCTCCTCCATCGATCTTGCCAATGCGCATATTTCCATGTGAAGCTTGCGTAAAAGTGGAATCAATATAAATAATAACATCCTTGGTTTTGGGACAGGTTACAATGAAGACCAACCCTAACTTTGACCAAATACTGCCTTAATTATAACACCAGCGTCGGCAAGATTTCCATATAACCCCATACATTTATTATGCATACAGTTCTCTGTTTGACTAAACAATAGCGAAAACAATAGCGCTCCTTTGAGACTTACTTGATCTGAATGACTTTTATAGTTAGATTTTTTTTCGAATTTTGTATCTAAAATACGCAAAAACGGAACGATTTCTTGGAGATTTCGTGGAGTTTTAGGTCTAAATTACGGAAAACCGAAACGAAATATCATAATTTTGGGCACATTTACCATATTTTTAAACTGAGTGCAGGCTTAAAACTGCTTAAAATAATAGCGATTTAGACCTGTTCGCTAGTTTAAAAAAGCTTTAAAA